ATATATATATATATATATATATATATATATATAAATTTTAGGAAGCAACTTAAGCATCTCAAGACTTCTTTTCCAGCTCTGTTAGCACCTAACCTCAGGACAGTAATCAAACAAAACACTTTGTCATGGTTTATTATAGCACACACTCACAAACAAACAGACAGACAGTAAATCCAGTAGAGTTTATTATACAAAAATAGAAACCACGAGAAGCAACATCCTCCACATGTCTTAGTTTCTTGCTCATTACAATGTAACCTTTAAGGCTGGTCCAGGACCAACACCAAGAGAAACACTCAAGTCTACATAATGACCAGCCACCTGAGACCCCCCTCGTGCTTACAATATATTTGACAGTGAATCTGCACAAAGTACCCTGTATATTTACACTAAACATAACCGAAAAATACTACTACTATTACTACTACTACTACTACTACTAGCTACTACTACTGCTACTAATAATAACGACAAAGGATACTTCCTTTACGCTGCCTCTAAGTATCAAGTGACTTAGGACACATCTGTCCACTTGAGTATTTCTCCTATTATTGCCCCAAGACAGAAGTATAAAGATGCTTACCCACATATGAATAAGCAATATATATATATATATATATATATATATATATATATATTTTATATATAAATATATATATATATATATATATATAAATATATATATATATATATATATATATATATATATATATATATATATATATATATATATATATATATATATATGTATATATATATATATATATATATATATATGTATATATAATATAAATATATATATATATATATATATATATATATATATATAATTAAAATATATATATATATATTATATATATAATATATATATATAAATTATATATATATATATATATATACATATATATATATATATATATATACATATATATATAAATAATATATATATATATATATATATATATATATATATATATATATATATATATATATATATATATATTTATATAAATATATATATAAATATAATATATTATATATAATATATATATATATATATATATATATATATATATATATATATATATATATAATTACACTAGTAAATCACTCAGAAAGCCACAAATAGAAAAATAGACAAGAAAATACGGTAAGATTCTTGGATATAAAGTACATAGTAAGTTAACGCGGGGGGGGGGGCTTCATTATGGCAAGCATAACAGTAAATATAAAATTAACGTTGCTTCAGGTCTCTTCTTAAATGGATTATTCATACGATTCCTGATTTATTTAAGAAAGTTACTCAGCAGTTTAAGAGGTTGATCATATTCGAACAAAATCCTAAAAAAATTACATATAGGTAAGCAGGTTTCGTTTTCTTGTAAATACATAATATGAACCCAAAAAAATATATATTAACTTTTACATTTATTTTCGAAATTACCTCGAACATAAAATATTTACTTTTACAAATCAATTTTTTTTTATTTCTTCTTTAGCTTGCAAGACAAAATGCTCTCACAATATTATTTTGCAATAATAATCAAAATATGAAATTCATAGACCGAAATATATCTGGGAAACTTTACAGAAAAAAGTTTTTCTACGTAAAGCCAAAAAAGAAAAAAAAACAATGATTTAGCGTGGACAGGCGAGGCAGGTTGAGAGTTAAAAGTCTTGGCAGATAAAAAAAAAAAAAAAAAAAAAGAGAGATTTATAAGATTTTCTAAAACAATCACAAGTAATTGTAAACATGTCCACATTTATTATTATTATTATAATCAAGGGGGAAGCGCTAAACCCGGAGGAACAAACATGTCCACAGCAAGAAATAAAACATTGTCCCTGGCTGAGGCGAGGTAAACCGTCACAAGAATTCCAGATACAAATATTACCGATGTCGCTGCAGGTTTTGCAATTCATTATAATGACAATAATAATAATAATAATAATCATATGTCAACGAGAGACCTTGGAAGCCTGTTACTATGAAGAACTAATTCATAGACTGGTGCATCACAGAGGTCACTTTTCATGGTATGACTTGAAAAATGACCTCTGAGGCACTTGCAAAAGAACTCCCTAAAATGGTCAGCGTGGTTCTGTTTCTTAATCTGTACTGAGAAGAATCTCTAAGTAGGACTTAAACAGTTATATCTCTTGTCAATTTTCATAATGTGGATTCTCTAATATATATATATATATAATATATATATATATATATATATATATATATATATATATATATATATATATATATATATATATATATATATATATACAGCAAATATATTATTTGCATCTATATTTATGTATAAGTTGCAATGGTAACATGGAAAAGTATTGGAAAAAAGACACTATCCATTTATTACTTCAGATAAATATCACATATAGAACATCAACTGCGCCAGTATCAGCTGTTTCCTTGGCCTGATTGAAGCTCCACACAGCATCCAGAAGTAGACACAGGCCTCGTTAACCCATCATAAACTCGACTTCTTTACAATCATTTGTTGCTCTCTAGGCTCTCGTGAAAACTGTGAGGACAGCTAGACATTTCCTCTGGGTTCTGTATTCCTCATGTAGCATAATGACTGAATATGAGGTAGTGAAAAAAGCAGACGACCCGACGGAAACTCTGGCCTCTCCCAATAAGCTCCTGGTGATCTATTAGTCCAGTGGCTCATCTCACTACATATACTCTTCTTCTCTTTTAACATATTTATTACATTTACATTGCTACTTATTTTAACCTTTCCCTTCCAGCATAACTGATTTAAATCTATTCTCTGTGCGTTTCTGCAGTTGCATACATCACTATACACCGGTTATATCTTTTTTTTTGAGTTTAAACTTCATACTCACTCCATTTCCATTAACAACAATTCACACCGTAACTCTTCTATCCATTGCTCCCCCAAGGCTCCCACTTTGCGTACATGGAACAACATATCGTTTGCGTTGACTCAGCCAAAAGAAACCATTGTATAAATTTTTGTATCTTCAAATATTGTGACAGACTCCATATCCAAATTACCAGTCTCGCCTTCACAGGAACTTGGAATATTACACCTGCAATGCTATGCATCTAATTCAGAAGACTAAAGCCAAAACTTACTAGGAAACACATTTATAACCCAATCTGTCTTAAATCCAGGCTAGAAGTAAAGCTAGCCGAGACACCTCTGTGACGTTTGCCTTATGTCTAGATAATTATAAGTCTGTTACATTCTAGGAACGACACACTCACTGATTTGGGTTATGGAATAATCTTTGGATCTCTAATTTTCAGGAATGTAACCCATTTTTATGAAGGCTCTTCAGATTCAATGTTAGCATCAATTAAATACCAAAGAAGTTACAATTGCATATATGTGATAGTAAGCACTACTTCAAGATCAAATTAATGTTATAATAGCAGCAACAGTAGTTGCAGTAGAAACAAGAGAAACAGAAGAAATAAGAGTCACAGCAGTCGTACCAGTAACAATAGCCGTATTACTAGGAATATCAGTGAAAATAGTGTAAGATAGTGTAAGATAAGAAGTAGTAGCAGTTGTAATATTAATAGTTGAAGTATTAGCTCCAGTAGAGGTAACTGAAATGACAGCATTAGCAGAAGGCAATAAAAAATAACTATTTAGCACAAACTATATAATTAGTAAAATTTATTACATAAAGAATAATGTAGTTCTTAATGAAGACACATAATTGCTCAGATGTAATAAGATCAAAAACAGGTAATACCTTAACATACAAAATAACCACAGTGAAAAATAGTGAAATTCCAAGCTTTTTTTTTTGTGGTTTCTCGCATTATCAAGGAACTGTTCCTGATAATGTGAAGAATCAGGAATGTGTTTGGAATTTCACTGTTATTCACTCTTGGTTATTCTGCGCACGTTTACATACGAAACTTATATGAAAGATTGAGAAAATAGTTTATCGAATACAAATAAACAGTAAAACGAGGATTTATTTTAAGAAATTACATTACTGAAACTATAATAAATTATTAAGAAAAGCATACACGTTATAGTCGAAAATGCACTCGGTATTGTCTTTCTATGGTAATACAAAAAATACTTTAAGTATTTTTGCTATGTCTGAAGCCTTGCCTGGTGTCCACGCAATTGTACCCAATACTCAAAATCTATAGAAGTTTGAAATACGTCAGTTTCGTTCCTTTTCAAAATATTAAATAACAGTTCTTTGACTCTAACCCTCTTTTCAAAATAGGTAAAGTCAATTTGAAAAACAAATCCTCTGAGACGATTAGACAAAGCTAATATCCTGCTTGTAATAAAGCCAATTTGCATTAAACTTAAAAGTCAATGACTTCTCCTTGCAAACCTATAATTGCTAATTGTTTCAGAAATACCAGCAACCTTTCAAAATTATTGTTAGTTGATACTACGAGAAAGCTTTAGAAATTTGCTCTTCAACAGATGAAAGTACAGCTTTATATTGTTAATCCGTATTCAGCTTTAAAAATAAATCCCGGAGTACCACCGGATATCTTTATTTTTCTGAATCTCTCAAAACAAAGTCGAATTAAAAGTACTTTCATTAAATCTAATTTTATAAGTGCATAGTGTTCAACAAGCAAAATTATTTCTATTTAGTGACAATAGTAGTTGTAGCAGTAATAGCTGTAGCAATAATGAAATATGTAGTAGTAGTAGTAGTAGTAATAGTAGCAGTAGTAATATCTTTAGTAAAGGGAAGAAAATCAGCAGAAATAGCGAGAAATATGTTGTTGGTAGCAGACCAAAAGAAATAAATCGTCTAGCTGCAGCTCAGATAGTTACTTTTGCTCATTACAAATGAAAAAATTATCACTTCTACTGGAGGAAAAAACCTGGATTTCAACGGTGTGTGTCACAAGTCACTGCTTAAGTCATCCCAGGGAATAATTGTGAAAAATTACAGACCTTAAAACTGAAGTATCTTGGACAAATATATATATATATATATATATATATATATATATGCCAAACTGTGAAACACACAAAAATAGATTATATTTTGTCTAAAGGTTTCTACCAGTACAGGTTTCAAAAACAGTTCCCAGCCTTTGATCTTTATACGCATGTAACATACAATGTCAAATTTTGCAATTCCCTAAACCTATTTTTATCTGATAATCCGTGCTGGTATCATAATTGTGCCTGAAGTCCTAGATACCAGGACAAGGAGGCCTATGCCATTGTCTCTACTCACATTTTATGAGTAACAAATGTCCAGTAAAACTAAATCTTGATTGTATCATGTTTAAAGCTCATTGCTGACTCAACATTATTTTATGTTCAGTCTAAAATAACACGAAGCAGAAAGAAATGCTCTGTGAGCTGACGACTCGGCCTCACAGCCTCATTAGCAGGTCAAACACTCACAGGAATGCGCACCACGCACGCACGCACGCACGCACACACACACACACACACACACACACACACACACACACACACACACACACACACACACACACACACACACACAGAGGTGCTGTAAATCGACCCCTTTACCCACATATAGGTGAGTACACTCATACATTCACTCGCAGAAACACACACGAGCGCAGCCACAGGGTGATATATTTTGATATTTTTGTTTATGAAAGGTTAGCGACGTTGTTCAGTTACCACAACAGCAGCACAGCTGTGGTGTTCACGGAGCTCCGACAGCTATCACATAGCAGCAGAGCAGTGGTGTTCAAGGGAGCTCAAACAACCAACAATCAGCACAGCAGTTGTGTTCAAGGGAGCTCAGACGGCCACTACACAGCACCACAGCAGTGGTGTTCAAGGGTGTTCAAACAACCAACACACCAGCAGCACAACTACACACCTGAAACAAAGAAAAACATTATATTAGATAAAGCTTCAGCACCGAGTAACTTGCCTTAATATTTCAAAACATCACCGAAAAACTTGCTCTGTCATTAAAGCTAAACAAACTAGTCCGAGAGTATGACCAAAGTTGCAACAAAGTTGTGGCACAACTTTGCGCATATAAACACCCCAAGAAACGAAAACCCTCCTGGCTGTGTACTTGCTACAATGTCAGGCAGCTTTGCTGAACTTATGTCATGAAGGCAAGACTATGTTTATTGTAATATATATTTTTTGGTGGGATAGCGGCAAAGTGGCAGACTTGAAAGAGCAGGATTTCGACAATGTTGAATTCTTGATGGACTAATTGTCTCCCACAGATCGAGAGAGGAACGTGGGGGAAGTGAATATCTGTTAGTCAGATAGGATTTACATCAAGCTGGTGGGAATATGGAGAGAATCTTTAAAGAAACTTGAATCTTATTCCAAACTACGATACTACAAGGACCACAAAATCATCCCATAAAAAATTATACACGTGGAATTTTCTTGTTTGTATGGATTACATGACTAACGAGAGAAAAAAAAAAACATAGGTAGGCATTTCAACTCTGGGGCTTTAGTTTGGTAGCGGCAATTTTCCATGATAGCATATGCTTGTCGTAGACTGATCATTAGGGCATCAATATTTGTCATTTCTTGGCATCTAACATATCTAACATCTTATGTAGGAAAATTAAACAATAACTAAACATTATGCTAATCGCATCTAGATTACACATTTACGACGAGTATAGTATGAGCTGGACATGTATTTTATATTCTTAATTTGTTTTCCAAACTGTTATGAAGAGAAAGACGAACAGCTTGTGTGGGTTCCCTGACAGATGCACTACACAGTCAACCTCTCAAGCCAACAGTCGTCGAAGCCTCGGGAAATATTCAACAAGTCTCAGGATGCAACATATCAAATAGCATAGTAAACCAAAGTGCTGGCCTCACCAAAAAACAATTCCGAGACGCAGCAGATGTGAGGAGAGATGAAGTTAGCATGTGACTAAAACTTATGACCGAAAATACCAGAATAAATTACCATGTTGACAAGGACTGCTATAAAAACTATACACTGACGAAAATATTAAATACAATTCACAGTGGAACTGTTATATAGCAGCCTAGCATGACACTAATGTCATGTCGACGTCTTTAGAGTTCAGCAAAACAACTATAATATATTCCGTGTGTAATATGTGACTATGTTAGAGTAACTATACATGATGCATGAGCAAAACTAAATTCAGGATTTGTGAAAAAAAAATCTTAGCAGTAAGAAATGTTTTCCACGATGGAATATTCGACCTTTACAGAATATTGATGAATTGATGATGAACACAGCCTTCATTCGCCGTGGATTTGAGCGCATATTCAGATTGTATGACTAGGCTACTTTATGAATTATGAACGTGCATTATGGAGAAGCAAGCTGCCGCTGGACGGTTTTCAGACGACCAAATACATTTGATTTCAGCAAGCAATGACATCTTTTATACTTTCAGGAAGCAGGTTACGTTAGGCAGATAAATGGTTCAGAAAACCGACAATTTGATAAATTAGATTCATGTACAACAAATAACAAAGAAAGGCACAATACCGTGACTGGAACTATACACAAATAACCCGCACATAGAAGAGAGGAGCTTACGACGACGTTTCGGTCAGACTTGGACCATTTATAAAGTCACACTGCACTGCAGTGTGACTTTATAAATGATCCAAGTTGGACCGAAACGTCGTCGTATGCTCCTCTCTTCTATGTGCGGGTTATTTGTGTATACATGTGCAACACTTGAATATCCTCTCTGTGAAAACTTTATATCCACACAGTGTCTTCGTCAGCCATCAATCCATTCTTCTTTGTATTGGACTAATGAATCCACTGTGTGGCGAAACTTGACCACAATAAAAATACCCAAGTGTTACAGGTGATGTTTCCCCTCTCAGTAAAAACAGAGTTCATGAACATTGAAAATAAAGCAGACACATAATAACATGAAGCTATTCCTCATAAGAAAGCATAATGAAAAAGAAAATTGCCAGTAAACTTGAAAAAAAAGAAAAAACTGTTTATGGCTTTCAGCAGACCTGAACTCTGAAGAAAGATGCAGAACTTATATTAAGGCAAGTTTTACAGTAACCTTTTTTTTTTACAAGACTTAAAGCCTTAAATCTCCACTCTCTGGAGAGGCGTAGAATGAGGGGAGATATCATTGAAGTGTATAAGTGGATGACGGGCATAAACAAGGGAGACATTAATAAAGTACTGAGGGTGTCGAACCAGGTAAGAACCAGGAATAATGGATTTAAGTTGGATAAATTTAGATTTAGAAAGGACATAGGTAAGTACTGGTTTTCTAACAGAGTTGTAGATGCGTGGAACAGTCTTCCCAGTGGGGTGATAGAGGCTAGGACCTTGGGTAGCTTTAAGAAGAGACTGGACAAATATATGAGTGGGAGGGGCTGGGTTTGATTGGTGCTGGAGTTGTTTCTTGAGTAGCTTTAGGTAGATGTCGTTTTGATAAGGACCTGCCTCGTATGGGCCAGTAGGCCTTCTGCAGTGTTCCTACATTCTTATGTTCTTATGTTCTTATAAAATTTGTGATGCTAATGAACTTTGCCAATACTGGAGGATTATAAGAGTTCCTAAAAATGGTATCTTGAAATTTTCAGTATGTCTCTTTAACATTAATAAAGAACAAAATAGCACAGTACCGTGACTGAACCAATATACTAATAACCCTCAGATACAAAAATGGAATCTATAACGAAATTTCGAACAGACTTTGGCCATTAGTAAATTAATGTGCGGGTTATTTGTGTAACATGTGTAAGTCGTGTATACTGCAACCTGTACTTACATATCTTGGAAACAACCATAATTTTAACGTATTCCTGATGACCACATATGCAAAATTTCTGCACTGTTATTGTCTTATTAATCTTAAGTGTTTTTTGGTATGATCACCCAATTATTATATTAATTTGTAGAAACATGTATCATGCTAAAATAAAATTATTATTATTATTATTATTGTAAAGTAAAAGGACACAAGTGCAACTAATGTGACATTTATTGTGGCAACGTTTCGCTCTCCAGGAGCTTTATCAAGCCATTACGTTCCTAAATTCCGTAATGGCTTGATAAAGCTCCTGGAGAGCGAAACGTTGCCACAATAAATGTCACATTAGTTGCACTTGTGTCCTTTTACTTTACATATTGTCGGTAATTCTACCAACTTTATTACTATTATTATTATTATTATTATTATTATTATTATTATTATTATTATTATTATTATTATGAAACAAATGATGCATGTAAACTTTCGTGCCTATTCTAAATATTAAACTACACAATTTAAAATACGTAAAAGAAAGCTCCACTGTAAATGAAGACTTGTCACAGCATCTACGAGAAGAACAAATGAAAATTGTGCATCCACGTCCATGAATCAATTAATGTTTCCACTAGCTATGCTGACATTAGAGGGGCTCTTGATCCAGAGAATTGGACCTGGCTTTCCCTTCCCTGGATTAAAACTGATTGTTTTCCATTCCCCCCATGAGTACAATAATAACAATAGTGATTAATGCATTACCGTGATAAAGGATTTTAATTTTTCCAAAGGTTCCTGTTAATAACCAGAAACAGAAGCTCCTCAAGCAGTAAGAAGTACCGATATAACACTCTGGCAGCTTGACTCTGACAAGCTTGGCATACATAACATTCTGATTCTCTTCAACCACATATTTAATTAGTAAGGGCTCTGGTGGCCTGGTGGTTAACGCTCTCGCTTCACACGGTGAGGGCCTGGGTTCGATTCCCAGCCAGAGTAGAAACATTGGACGTGTTTCTTTCCACCTGTTGTCTATGTTCCCCATCAGTAAAATGGGTACCTGGGTGTTAGTCGGCTGGTGTGGGTCGCATCCTGGGACACTGACCTAAGGAGGCCTGGTCACAGACCGGGCCGCGGGGGCGTTGACCCCCGGAACTCTCTCCAGATAGTTTAAGTTTGATGGGGATATACAACAGAACGTTCCCCAAACACTACCTAATTGTATTAATTTATCACTATATTTTAGGCCTTATTCTCAGTGTTTCATAAGGAATCTTATCTTGTTTTCTTCTAAAGTAATAATAACCATGTACACCACGTAATTAATAAGAACGCTAATATTTATACCTATTACATGTAATATTCTGCTCGTCTAAATTTAATTACACTGCATTTTCTCTTTACCGATTTTGGCAGATTAAGATCGGAGGGGCGCCTAAGTACCCTGGGTAATTTTATTAGTCAATAATGAAATTTACATTACATATCGGAATGGATAGGTCCGTGGAATCCCTATTCGCAGAATATATCAAATATATGAGGAAAAAAAAACACTATAAGGGAAAGTTTAATCCTTGACGTGAAAAATTGTCGGATTTGTCAGACAAACGAGTAATAAAATTCACTATCAGCATGTGCAAGATTACTAAAATTTGGGTTGTGAAAGAAAACAGGAATATCAATAAAGCGTCGGAAGTGAGGCCAGGGCTTAGCCAGGTTCTGAAGTTAGAGGAGGCCAGGGGCGTAGCCAGGTTCTGAAGTTAGAGGAGGCCAGGGGCGTAGCCAGGTTCTGAAGTTAGAGGAGGCCAGGGGCGTAGCCAGGTTCTGAAGTTAGAGGCCAAGGGCGTAGCCAGGTTCTGAAGTTAGAGGCCAGGGGCGTAGCCAGGTTATGAAGTTAGAGGAGGCCAGGGGCTTAGCCAAGTTCTGAAGTTAGAGGAGGCCAGGGGCGTAACCAGGTTCTGAAGTTAGAGGCCAGGGGCGTAGCCAGGTTATGAAGTTAGAGGAGCCCAAGGGCATAGCCAGGTTCTGAAGTTAGAGGAGGCCAAGGGCATAGCCAGGTTCTGAAGTTAGAGGAGGCCAAGGGCTTAGCCAGGTTCTGAAGTTAGAGGAGGCCAAGGGCTTA